ATGTGTGAATCTAATGGTCGTCCTTCACCAAGTTATACCATATTCCATAATGATACTGAGATCAGTAATGAGAAGACGTATACCATAGATGTTGTGCAGTACAATGATTATGGAACATATAAATGCATCGCAGAGAATAAACTTGGAACTAATCAAACTTCCAATAATTTAGCCGTAGGTAAGATTGGATTTTTGACACATTTTATTATACAAACAAAAATTTACATGGTGACAGATAGAACCAGCCACCAATTTAAGGAGGCAAGACGTTCTGTTGAGCTTTTAGCCGCTGGGCTTGATAAAATACAGGCCCTATTAATATGCTCCCATGAGGTAGTTGTCATACACCCACCACAATGCTGTGTGTGTGTGTGTGTGTGTGTGTGTGTGTGTGTGTGTGCGTGTACATTACATTGACTTTTAAGCCTCTATTCCGCATCTCTTCCACACACTCCTGAGTCTTTGTCAGAAACAAGTGAACAGTTTTCTGTGTGCCTCAATTGCAAAGTGCAGGTGCGCGCAAATGGTGCAAAAGTTCTGATCAAGAATTGTCCCCGATCCAACGGCGCGGAGCGCCGTTCTGGGCGTAAGCCCGGGACGAGGGTACTAATTCCGTCCGGTTATTTACACCCGGGGAAACGAAAGCATTAGAGTAAGCATTAGCGAAGTCTAAAGTTCATCAATGATCGAGGGCGTGGGTTACCGTGCGTGGTTCGGTGGGTGGTCATCTCACTGATCTCAAAATATGGCTGTTTGCCAGGGGTGAAGAAGGAAAAAAAATATAAAAAATACATGTAAGAAAGTTTGGAAATTCGTTTCACATAACAAATTGTAAAACTTTTTTACAATTTTTAAAGGAATACTCCACTAAAAATATATTGAGGTGCAAACAAGAGATTTTACCTACGTTAGGTTACTTGCGAAGTAATTTGAAAAGGCAAATCTTTTTAGGTAAGGACGAATTGCTCATCGAAGTTTGTAAAATCCCTTGTTGAACGACGCCATGTTAAGTTGTCTTTTTCAAGCAGACGCGTAAGGCCAGCCAAGGCCAGCGGTTTCACAAAAAAATGACGTCACTGAGTGCTTTCATCCTTCGCGCGAAACTTCAAACACTTCCATTATACTGTGGTAGTGTTTACTGTTTAATTAATTGTGTTTAATCCACTGTGAAATTAACAAAAATGCCGCACTGTATGGTTCGGAAATGTGCAAACGGTGGGAGAAAGACTAAATGTTCAGACATAACTAATCATAGACTGCCAAGTGGTCCACCTAAAAGAATTTGGTTGCGAAATATCAGGAGGGACAACCTCTAGATATTAGTAGATGTACAGTACACTACCACAGTATAATGAAAGTTTTTGAAGTTTCGCGCGAAGGATGAAAACACACAGTGACGTCATTTTTTGTGAAACCGCTGGCCTTGGCTGGCCTTACGCGTCTGCTTGAGAAAGACAACATAGCGTCGTTCAATAAGGGATTTTACAAACTTCGATGAGCAATTCCTCCTTACCTAAAAAGAATTGTCCTTTCAATCTTCGCAAGAAACCTAACGTAAGTACAATCTCTTGTTTGCACCTCAATATATTATTAGTGGAGTGTTCCTTTAAACGTAAACACTTATAAAAATTGATTTAGTATGAGAAATAGTGTAAAATAGTGTAAAGCTACACTGTGGAAGTGTAATGTTACACTCGAACGGTGTTTAATTCCGCGTTACACCCAATTAGTGTAATGTTACACCTTTTTGGTGTTGCCGCAACACCGCGAGATTTACAGTGTATAGGGCAAGTTTGTTTCAATTGTTTATGTATGACTTTGTATGAGTATAGACTTTGTTCTTGATGTTCAAGTCTTTCCTATGCATTGTTTGCGAAAGTTTCTTAGTTAAATTAACTTTTGTACAAGTTACTTTGATTAGCGTCCTGTACGAATTAAATTTATTTTATTTCAAAGTGCGAGTAATAAGTTGAAGCTCGAGTTGAAGAGTTTATAAACATCGGCAAAAACAGTTAATTTCAATTCACATTTAAAAACGTTTTACGTATGGTTTCGTTTTGAATTTTACATTAAAAATAAAGCCCATAGAAACCAAAATAATATACCTACTTTATATATTTTAGAAATTGATAGTTCTGTATTTAAAAG